CAGTGATCTCTTGGAGTGGAGGGAGAGCAGGTATGACTGGGACGACACTCACGACATTGAGCAAGACCTGGCTCACCTAGCAACCCTGGAGAGGGAACTGGAGCAGGACTACCGAGATCTCTTCCACTCCATTGAGAAGATTCAGCAGGACAGCAAGGTGACAGAGCCAGAACCAGACCCATTCAGCTGGGAAGACATTGTGGATATTTTCTGGGAAGAACCCCAGGTGGCCAGTAGAGATGGGACCGAGGTCTCTCCACCGGTCCTGCAGGGAATTGGGAGCCCAGTCTCCATTCCCCAGCGGCTGTGTGATTTATTGGGAATTGGGAGCCCAGTCTCCATTCCCCAGCGGGAGATATTGCAGGGAATTGGGAGCCTGAGCTCCATTCCCCAGCGGCAGGCTGAGTTACAGGGGACAGAGATAGTCGCCCCTGTCCCCCAGCAGCAGAATGAATTGCAGGGAATTGGGAGCCCGAGCTCCATTCCCCAGCGGGAGATATTGCAGGGAATTGGGAGCCCGAGCTCCATTCCCCAGCGGGAGATATTGCAGGGAATTGGGAGCCTGAGCTCCATTCCCCAGCGGCAGGCTGAGTTACAGGGGGCAGAGGTAGCTGTTCCTGCCCCCCAGCAGCAGAGTGATATGCCGGGAAGGCAGTGTAAAGTGCAGGGAGAGGAGAACAGCGTCCTCCCTCCCCAGCGGCAGGCTGAGATACAGGGGGCAGAGGTAGTTGTTCCTGCCCCCCAGCAGCCAAGTGATATGCCGGGAAGGCAGTGGGAAGTCCAGGGAGAGGAGAGCAGTGTCCTCCCCCCCCCAGCGGCAGCGTGATTTTTTGGGAATTGGGAGCCCAGTGTCCATTCCCCAGCGGCAGAATGATGCTTTGGGAATTGGGAGCCCAGTCTCCATTCCCCAGCGGCAGTATGATGCTTTGGGAATTGGGAGCCCAGTCTCCATTCCCCAGCGGCAGCACAGATTATTGGGAATTGGGAGCCCCGTCTCCATTCCCCAGCGGCAGAGTGTCCTACCGGGAATAGAGAGCCCAGTCCCCTTTCCCCAGCAGCAGGACTCTGTATTGGGAGCAGAGACAGTCGGTCTCCCTCCCCCACAGCTGGAAGTATGTATGGGAGAGGAGCTTGTTACCCCCTCTCCCCAGCGACAGCGCTGTCTAGCCAAAGGGGAGACAGTCGGTCTCCCCCTCCAGCAGCAGCAGCAGAGCGGTGTATTTAAAGGGGAGACAGTCGGTCTCCCCCTCCAACAACCAGGCTTCCACCAGGCTACCCTCCCAGTAGCGCGGGCAACAGGGCAGAGTGCCGCTGGTCTCTGCCCACGCAGCAACCCACCAAGTCAGCGTACCCGTACCCAGCACAGCCGTGGTGAGGCACCTGGACATGGACAAGCTTCTTCTCTACCCAGGTGTAGTAACCATTTGTTGTGGGTGGGCTGTGCTGTGGATTATTTGTTGTGGGTGGGCTGCTGGACTAACAAGGGCACTGACCGGCAGGAGGTCAGATACCCTGTTAGTCTGTTTGGAAAAGGGGAGAGATGTGACGAGACCAATCTCGCCACATTGCACTGGAGAAGCCTGGTTGCTCGCCTGCTGCCTTTGGACTATGGCCCCCTTTTAAAAGACTTTATTTTTCCATGCAGAAAAGCCATATTCATGCTTTTCTGCTGGTTGTTCGGTAGTTTCAATCTACCGAACAACCGTACGAATGACTGGACCACCTGGGAGCTGGAGTGTGCCGGCAATTAACCTCCCTGAAGCTGCGGTTAACCGCAGCTTAATTGATGAACGCTGGGTGGCCGCCGTTCGTATCCCGAACACGAGGTCGCGGCCATTTTAAACCATACGAATGAACAGCGGTGTTCGCCTCTATTTTCATGGAACTAAAATCGGACACAGTTTTGCGCGAACACCGCTGAAGCCGCCGACCTCCCTTCTTGTTCGGTGAAAGCACACGAATGACCGGTGTTCGGTATTTTTGTGTGAATGTCTTATACCCCAGATAGGAATCCCATGGA